CATGGGCGTAGCCAGAGTTTTGTTATGGGGGGGCCTAGTGGAGGCCAACCTGACACAAAATTGAATTATTTCAAATTATTGTTCATTATTGGGCACCGAGCAAGCCGTTCACCTTTTTTTAGTATTCAAAACTTTTATTTTAGCTTTAGGTTTTTACAAATCGACTCAACACTTTTTCGGCTGTGATTTCCTGGGGAGGGCACCAGGTTCCCTGGGAGGGGCCGTGCCCACCCAGGCTCCCCCCTCGCTACGCCCATGTTGGTAGTGCTCATAGCGGAGCCAAGGTATGCATTTATGCCTTCCGTAAATAAATTGAATTGAATTGAATTGAATTGGTCCGTTCGGATATGTCGGGCCCCGTCCCTCACCACCTGGTGGCCTGGCCGAACCCATAATGGACCAGCTATAAGAAGCCCTCTTAGTGCCCACAGGGCGGAAAGAATAAAAAAAAGAACTACCCTCAAAATTAAGTTTTTTGCCATTCGATAATAATTAAAGCTATGTGAGGTTTGCCGATTGGAGAGAAAGTATCGCGACAGCACTGTCATGTGGGAGTAAAAAAAACTTACTGACAAGTGAGACAGGTTCTCCATCGTATACCGTTTAATAAATATAAAAATTTCTCTTACAACAAATCCTTAAAACGGTGTAACACCTATCCAAAAGTCGAGAAACAAGTTCGTAACACTAAAAGTTCAACTGTTCTGACGGTAGTTTTTCTTTCCGGCGATGGTGGCGTGAAGACGTCTACTTCGGGCTGCACAACACTATTTGGACCGAGGTCTTCTATCTACAAGGTGGACTTTAGCGATCTTGATGGCACGGGAGGGTGAAGACAAGTCCTCCGAATATCTAAAAAGCTCTCGTGGGAGAACGTCCGGACGACCAGAATCCTGGAGAGGAGCACTGCGAACCAAAGGCCAAGAACTACGAACCAAGAACGTCACATCCTTTTTTTGCGCGGTTTTTATAAGTTTTTTCTTGGTCCCAGATCGAACATTCCGATAGGTCGATGCCGATCTGCCCCCGCTCTCTAATTGGTCCCCCCCTCCTCGTTACGAATTATAACGAGATCGGAGCCCAGATCGCGGAGTGAGTCAACTCCGACTGACAATTTATTCCTATCGAATTGATTAATTTAAAAGACCAAAATTCAGTTTTGTCACAGAACAAGCAATGAAAAATTCGGTGGTAGTGCAGCGACCTGTTTAACATAGTTCTATTGGACATTAGTGGTGTATATGAACGCGAATGAATCGTACAAGCAAAAGAAAAAAAAAAAAAAAGGTCAACAGGTTTCGCAGGATTTCCTCGAATAAGCAACTTACTAGTTTACCCAGACGGCGAACCGATTCCCGGACTGTCCGGACGATAGCACTATCGTAGGCGCGATGCAAGTATAGATTAGGATGTTTCAAATTTTTACAACATATTATTATTATTTATTGTGAAATTTTGCCGCCCCNTTGAAAGAAGTCACTTTATTATGTCTGTATAAAGCAAAGTAAATTACAACACAGTTTCATCAGAATAAAAAAAAAATAGTTTTGATGTTAACAATTCCAGGTATAAACTTATCAGTTAATAAATTTATACCTGGAATTGTTAACATCAAAACTATTATAGATTAATATGGCAGGTATAACAAAACAATTCCAGGTATTCAAAGAATGGAATGATCAAAGTATGGAAAGATCAAAGAATGGAAAGATCAAAGTGGGTACGTGATCAAAGAACTGTTCACACAGTTCTTTGATCACGTACCCACTGTATTTTGTACAATGATGTGTGTATTTTAAAATGCACGCATCTTGTATTTTTATGGAAGTTGTGTGAATCCAAGTTTTCTGATTATCTGTGACTTAGTTGAACATGTATTGATATTTGATGCTACATGGAAGTGTGATTGTTTAAGCTAAGTGTTCAAACAAATTTTAGTCACAAGTGCAATAAATATTAGAGAGGTTGCGGCCGTCGTATTTAGCCCAAAACGTGTACGGCAAACGGTTGAGCGCCGCCATCTGGCAGTTCTGGACTGTCAATAATGGCGTTCGCTATGTGTATCAATGTGAGTAGACGATCGGCTTAAACGTCTTAATTTTTTTGTGTTTGGGGTTAAAATTATGATTTATTTTATTAAAATAATGATTATTTAAGAAGTTGTGAATAATATTGTAAAGAAACAGACGATTTTAATCCAGAAATTATTTAATTATTCAATTTTTTAGCAAGTGATGTAGAATTTTCATATATTTGCCTTCATAATAGCTTATCTTAAGGTAGGTTTGTTCTTCAACGGTATCTTCTACCATCAACAGCGTAATACGTTAGTAAATTTCCTAAAAATTAATTTTTCGAGCTGCTTTCGCATTTACATAAGCCACTACTTCCCTTGACAAAAGTATGAGGTAGGCCTATTGTCCGATCGTACGGTAGGAGATACCACGCTAATTAAAAATAATTATTTAGTGTTATTAAACATCCTATACATACTTTAAAATAGTTTAATTTGTTTATTTACCGTCGCTGGTAACCCTCGATGTTAAATATATCTGCCATTGTAAAAAATAATTATTTTAATTCAGAAATTATTTAATTATGTGATATTTTTCAATGTGATGTGAAGTGATCACAGAAACTCTAAGGCTGTGTTATTATTTTTTATTTTTTTATTTTCGCACAGTAAGCATTTAATTAAAATTATATTTGTAGTTTACTGATGACGTATTACTGTTAATGGATGAGAATGAAAGTGATGAAGAAGCCATTTTATTACTTCATATCACTAAAGCTATACCGGTGACGAAAGTAAGAATGAATTTAAGCGAAATGACAGATTCTGATTGATTGTTTTATTTTTGGTAAGCGATATATTTATAAAGTAAAGTAAATACTTAAAAAAAAGGAATAATAATACTTATAAAATTTTATAATTTTAACAGATTTTCAAGAGATGATTTGTTTCACCTCCATTCTGCTTTACGCCTTCCATCTGCAATTATTTGTGAAAATGGATCATGCTCACTTGGAATTGATGCATTGTGTATTTTTTTACGAAGATTAGTTTATCCTAATAGTCTTGATGATATTTCTGTTTTGTTGGGGAGAACAAAAACTGAACTTTGTTGGTGCACTACTTACAAACTGTCACACTTGCTTATACGGTAGTGCAACATCAGATTATTATAATTGTTTACCCCCCAAATTGGACGAATTCTTATGTAATCAATAAATAATAAATAAATAAATAATTTTTTTCAATTTTACAAAAATTTTTATTTAGTTTTTATAAACATTTTTTATTCAATTTTTATTCAAAGTTTTCATAAGTAATTCTAAAAACAATCTTCTTTCCTCGCCTTCCTGCTTCAATTTTGCTTCTCTCTCTCTTCTCTCTAAACCGAATTTTTCTTTTTCCAACTCGAATTTTTCTTGTTCCAGTTTCAGTTGTTCTTTCTTTAAATTTAATTCTTGTTTCAAATGATTCTGTTGCTCTTGCTTTTTTTGTAAGTATGAGAGAACAAGGTTTTCCTTTTTTTTCTTTTTTGTGACAATTGTATCTTCATCTAAAAATAATTAAAAATGTATACTTATTACATAATTCTTGTAATAATTATATCACAAACAGTTTTTATATTTACCAGATGGAAACTCGGAAGATGATGCTCTTAAAGATGTCATCGCTGCATCCCTGACTTACTGCCCAGCAATGGCTTGTGGTTGTGATTTCTCAGATGTTATCTGGGCTTCATATTTTAACTCTTTTATTTCTTGTAGAAGTTGATTACGTTCTGTAAATTCCTATTCTGTTCCAGATCTTCGCAAACTGGCTTGATCATTCTGAAAAGAAAAATATGATAAGCTATAAAAATGTTATCGGCACTTTACATCACTTGCTAAAAAATTGAATAATTAAAAAATTTCTGGATTAAAATCGTCTGTTTCTTCACAATGTTATTCGTAAATGCTTAAATAATCGTTATCTTAATAAAATAGGTCATAATTTAAACCCCAAACACAAAAAAAATGAAGAAGTTTAACCGATCTTTTATTCGCCATTCTACACATAGAGATTGCCGTTATCGACCGTGTAGAATTGCCAGATGGCGGCGCTTGCACCGTCCGCCGTACACGTTTTGCGCCGATACATGTACCGCAACCTCTCTATTTTATACTTCTAAAAATAGGGTTGGTTCTGCAATCTGTTACCGAAGTATAAGAACACCATAAATTTTGTTTTTTTAAATTTATTTTGAAACTATTACTGGAAATATTAAAATAATTTAAAATAATTATAAAAAATAATTATCGGTTCTTTTTACATTTCATAAAGCAGCATACATTTTTTTTCCACAAATATCTATTTTTTTATATATTCAACATATATCATGTTTAACATCCAGGAATGAGAGAGAGAAGTTTTGAACCTTATAAATAAAAAAGATGTTAACAAGGCAAGCTGCTGCTGAAATACCAATAGATGTGTCTCATGCAACTCTTTGGAGAACTTTAAAAAACTATGAGAATGTAAAATATTTAAAAATGAAGTTTTTAAATATTTTACTGCCAAACACATATCAATGAATTTAAATTGGGCTAAAGACAAGATGGGATGGACTGAAGAATGGCAAGAAATAATGTTNTCCCCCCGCGGGGGAAAGAGACAGGATTAAGGCTTACTGTGAAAAACTTGGCTTCTATTATACTATTTTAGATGCGGGTTTTTGCGTTTTTGATTGCGTTTTAATAAGGTACGTCAACAGAATGTACACTAAGAAAAAATTTTTCGAAAAATTTTCCCCCACGGGGGAAGTGTTATACATTTATAATAGATACATTTTGAGCCACAACAAGGCGTGGTGGGGTCTGCTAGTTTTTATATAATTTTAGAAAGTGTACCTACACTTTGGTAACAGGTAAAAAGTGATAACTTATATTATTATTAAAAGAAAAAAAGCTTAAAATTATATTTTTGTAATGGTCTTAAAACATAAAACTGTTTTCTAATAAAAAAAATTAAATAAATTTTGAAAAATCACAAAATTTGTGTTCTTTAACAGACTATATCTGGGAGGCAAGATGGCATTCACATACCTTGTCATAATACTGTAGAAGTAAAGTAGTTCTTTCCCGGCATCTTCTACCGTCGACGGTGTAATATGCCCGTAAATTTTCCGATATAGTTTTCCAAGCACCTTTCGGATTTTCATAGGCATACGGATTTACAGAAACAACTTCTCTCAACAGGAGTATATCGTGATTACACGAAAAATGCATTGGAACTTTCCTATTGCAAGGAAACACGACGCTAATTATAGTACAAAAATAATTATTTAGTGTTATAACATCCTATAAATACTTTAAAATAGCTTAATTTGTTTATTTACCTTCGCTCGGGAAATTCTTTGTCAAACGGTTCCGCCATTGACTCACGGGAAATTCGTTGAAAAAAACAACAAATTTCCCGTGAGTCAATGCGCGACGTTCATTGCGTCACGTGATGTTGTAAACGTCTGCCGCAACGATTTTTTCTTGCAGTTAAAATGTAAACCGTGACGTATACTTCTGCTTGCTGTCTAGAAGTAACGTTTGAACGTCGGCCGCAACCTCTCTATTGTCTACAAAAGGTTTAGTTCGTGTTAATATATATTTGTNTCATATTTTAACTCTTTTATTTCTTGTAGAAGTTGATTACGTTCTGTAAATTCCTATTCTGTTCCAGATCTTCGCAAACTGGCTTGATCATTCTGAAAAGAAAAATATGATAAGCTATAAAAATGTTATCGGCACTTTACATCACTTGCTAAAAAATTGAATAATTAAAAAATTTCTGGATTAAAATCGTCTGTTTCTTCACAATGTTATTCGTAAATGCTTAAATAATCGTTATCTTAATAAAATAGGTCATAATTTAAACCCCAAACACAAAAAAAATGAAGAAGTTTAACCGATCTTTTATTCGCCATTCTACACATAGAGATTGCCGTTATCGACCGTGTAGAATTGCCAGATGGCGGCGCTTGCACCGTCCGCCGTACACGTTTTGCGCCGATACATGTACCGCAACCTCTCTATTTTATACTTCTAAAAATAGGGTTGGTTCTGCAATCTGTTACCGAAGTATAAGAACACCATAAATTTTGTTTTTTTAAATTTATTTTGAAACTATTACTGGAAATATTAAAATAATTTAAAATAATTATAAAAAATAATTATCGGTTCTTTTTACATTTCATAAAGCAGCATACATTTTTTTTCCACAAATATCTATTTTTTTATATATTCAACATATATCATGTTTAACATCCAGGAATGAGAGAGAGAAGTTTTGAACCTTATAAATAAAAAAGATGTTAACAAGGCAAGCTGCTGCTGAAATACCAATAGATGTGTCTCATGCAACTCTTTGGAGAACTTTAAAAAACTATGAGAATGTAAAATATTTAAAAATGAAGTTTTTAAATATTTTACTGCCAAACACATATCAATGAATTTAAATTGGGCTAAAGACAAGATGGGATGGACTGAAGAATGGCAAGAAATAATATTTAGTGATGAGAAGTTTAATTTATATGGCCATGATGGGTTTTCATATTATTGGCATGATTTAAGAAGAGAAAGCAGAGTTAAAATATGCCATGGATCTATAATGATTTGGGGTAGTTTTGGAGGTAAATGGGATGGATGGGAAGGAAAAACTAATTTACTATTTGTTGACAAAAATATTATTACATTTGGTGCATTAATTGGAGGACATAAATGGTAGTTTCAACAAGATAATGCTACCATTCGTGTCTCAATGTTAACAAAAAATTGGTTTAAAAAAGGAAATATTGATGTGATATTAACTGGACTTCATGTTGTCCAGATTTAGATCCCATTGAAAATTTATGGGAAATTTCAGCAGCCATTGTTTATCAAAATGGGAAACAATATGAATCTGTAAATCAATTAAGAATGAACAATTAAAAAAGTAACAAACTCCATGCTAACAGAATTTTTCAAGTAATTGTAGCCAAAGGGGGTGAAACCAAATATTAAGTGTTTAAAATATATTTAAAATTTATCTATACTAATAATATAAAGAGGTAATGTTTGTATGTATGTATGTATGTATGTATGTATGTATGTATGTTAGTTTGTATGCAGCAGGTAATCTCCGAAACTACCCATCCGATTTCAAAAATTCTTTCACCAATATTTAGAATGGAACTTCAGGGTGGACATAGGCTGTATATTATTCCGTTAAACATGGGTATAAATTAAA